TGCTGCACTCTGATTGGATGAATAGAGTATCTTCTATTGGCTGATGTGTTAGTAGCTATATTTATGGAACCGATATAATGTGGCTGAGACGAGTTACAGTACATGCGATGATGTTTGAGTGAACGCACACCCACACACACACACCCACACACACACACACCCACACACGCACACACACACAATTTGAACAGATAAACTTCATTGGTCTGTGCGCTGTCACCCTGTCGTGTCACATTAATGTCAGCTCTTCACATTGTTGCAGTTGTTAGTGAATGAGTGTAGGTGACCAGTGGGGGATAGTGGGGGCTGGTGGGGGTTGGGGGGGTGTACACACAAACAGTTTAACTAGATCCAGTCCTTCTCCTTCTTCTCTCTCTGTCTCTCTGATATAGGCTTCCCTCTTTCTCTCATCCACTCTTTCTCTATACAGTCATATGCAAAAGTTTGGGCACCCCAGTTAAAATGACATTTTGTTGATTCTCTGCATTTTATTACAGCATTTTTCTGCATATTTTAGTAGACAATTACTAATAATATTGCTGAGTTTAACATATAACATTTAAAATGTGTTATAACACATTTATAACAGGCCACATTTTACACATTTTTCCCCCCATATGTTCAATTTAGCAAATAAACCTAACTGTGCATTAAAATGTGCAGAACTGTGTCCTCCATAGATGATGTGTTAATTTATTGTCACATAGAAAATCAACAAGACAAGTAATTTGACTGGGGTGCCAAACATGTTTTTTTATACAACTGTACATCATTTAGAGGTCAGAAGTAACTTGTGTGCAGCTGCAGATAGATGGTAAGCCTCAGTTGGTCAGTATCATCTCCAACAGCACAAAAACAATAGCTAGAAAATAATAATAATAATAATAATAATAATAATAATAATAATAATAATAATAATTAAGAGATTACTGCTAACATGGGAGCATGAACTGCCCATTACAGGTTACGTTTTTCCATGGGGAGTTGCAGTACAGTATGGTTCCTTATCCATACCCTGCTTGTCCATACCTGTGTCCATTTACCATCGCACAACAGAATTGTGAAAGTGGGCGGAGTTCCCTGGAGGTTGTGTGGTGGTCGCATGATTTCTCTAGCTTTAATAATAAACAACAACAGTAGTAACAATGGAGGAGCTTCACATTCTGAAGTACCTCTTACTTGACATTTGGTTTCATCCAGGAAGTTCCAGATTGAGATGCTCGCTTTTGTTTTTACAAGTGGTGATCAGCTGACTTGAGTGATGACGTCTAATGATTATCTGATGTTTGTTTTTGACCAATCGGTCTGTTCCAGTCATTTGCTGTCAGAGAAAAGGTTTTTAGTCCCTCAAGATATAAATAATGTGAATGTGCCCTCAAAGATACATTATTCTTACTCTGCACCTTAAACGAGTTTTAATGATGCACTATATTCACTTTCCTCTAGGAAAGTTACACATCGCTGTTAACTTTACAGGAGAAGGAAAAAACATACTTTACTTTTAATGTAAGTCAATGGAACCAGATGTTTCTCCAAGTCATTTTGGGCTGTTTCTTTTGGTTCAGTCTTCATGAAATTTACACACAATGTAAAGAGCAACAGGTGTTTTCAAATTATGACAAAAACTGAAAAATGCAAAAATGGAGATATAAGGTTCATTTTGGCATTAGGTCACTCTAGATCACACCATGCTACCAACTGCGAGAGTGACATATGCCTCCTCACATGAAGCCAACCACTGCATCTTTTCAAACATCATTAGACTTAGCTTAGCTTAATGTGCTTGGAGGAGAATGCTAACTGATGGAGCAGAGAGTGAGGTCAATTATGCAGCCAAGACACAGTGTATGGAGGCAATGCAACTTTGAAAATTTGGAATCTCTTGGACTCCTGGCCATGGGTGGCTTTGGCATCACCTGGGGTTTGAACTCTCACTCTCCTGATGATAGGGTCAGCACTTAGACAGTTGCACCACATGGGAGCTCTTAACTTTGTTTAAATAGTAAAATAAAATGAAAATAGTCAAGACACAGTGTGTGGAGGCATAAAATATAACTGTAACAGAATATTATAGTTATGTTCCCTAACTCAGAACTGAAGACCTATGCTTGAGGGTGTTTTTGTACCTTGAAAACCATTCTTTTTGGCTTGGAACACTCGGTACCCCAACAAGAAGGGTAACCAAATTCAGCACAGATACTCAGGGTTTGGGTTATGGATTACTTGGCAACAGAAATGGAAACAAAATGCATGATCAGGGGTTTGTAATCACATAGTACTGTACTGCACTGCCCAGTGGAAAAAAACCTTACCTGACAGTCCAAATGCTACAGCACTGATGCATCACTGAGCATACACCAATGATGTATACGCCAACCATAACAATGGACAATATGGCACCATGTGTGGACGGGGAGACTTTCCATAACTGTTGGCTAGCTAACAATAAACAGTTTCACTCAATTTCCCCGTAAAACCATGGTGTCTCTTTCCTCTGCAACAGTAACTACTGTGTTAATTCTCTTATATAACAACAAAAAGGCCTCTTAAGTTTAAGCTTTCAATTTTCGCTTTGCACCAAATGGTCACCTACAGATTGATCGTATTCCCAATGGCCATTTTGCTTGTTATGCCACACTCAAAGTTCAGGTTGATCTGCTATGTCTCACTGCTGTGTCCCAGGCATTCATTGGTATACCTTTACCAACATTAACTGTCATTAACCTTAACACTAGCTAGCCTACCTAGCTAACTTAGTCTAACTGCAGTGTTTATGTATGACAAATTGAATACCATTCCCAACATTAGCTGTCAATAACCTTAACTCTCGCTAGCTAAACTAGCTAACTTAGTCTAACTGGAGTGTTTTATGAACAAACAAATTGTGTACCATTCCCAGTGTTAGCTATCAGTAACCTCTGCTAGGTAGCTAACCTTGCTAACTTAGTCAATCTGCAGTGCTTTAAGTATGATGAATGGAAAACCATTCCCAATGTTAGCTGTTAATAACCTTAACTCTTGCTAGCTAAACTAGCTAACTTATTCTAAATTTGTACAACAAATTAAGTGGCGTTCCCAATTTTAGCTTCCAATAACCTTAATATTAGCTAGCAAACTTGCAGAGTTTTAAGTATGACAGATTTATTAATGTTCCTAATGTTAGCTGTCAGTAACCTCTGCTAGGTAGCTAACCTTGCTAACTTAGTCTACCTGCAGAGCTTTAAGTATGAATTAAAAACCATTCCCAGTGTTAGTTGTTAACTCTTGCGAGCTGAACTAGCTAACTTATTCTGACTGCACTATTTTGTACTACAAATTTAGTGCTGCTGCCACTTTTAGCTTTCAATAACCTTAATATTAGCTAGCAAACTTACAGAGTTTTAAGTATGACAGATTTATTAATTTTTCTAGTGCTAGCTGTCAGTGACCTTAGCTGGCTAGCTAACTTTTACTAACTCCAGTGCTTTAGGTATGACAAACTGAATACCATTCCCAATGTCAGCTGTTAATAACCTTAACTCCAGCTAGCTAAGCAAGCTAACTTAGTCTGACTGCAGTGTTTTGTACTACAAATTTAGTGCTGTTGCCAGTGTTAGCTTTCAATAACCTTCACATGAGCTATCTAACTTTGTTAGTGTTTTATGTATGACAGATTTATTGTTGTTCTCAGTGTTAGCTAAGAGTAACCTTAGCTGGCCAGCAAATGTTTTTAGCAAACATTAGTCTAACTGCAGTGCTTTCAGTATGTCAAACTGAACACCATTCCTAATGTTAGCTGTTAATAACCTTACCTCTTGCTAGCTAAACTAACTTAGTCTGATTGCAGAGTTTTGTACAACAAATTTAGTGCCGTTCCCATTGTTAGGTTTCAATAATCTTAACATTAGCTAGCCAATTTTGTTACAGTGTTTTATGTATGATAGATTTATTGTTGTTCCCAGTGTTAGCTAAGAGTAACCTTAGCTGGCTAGCTAACTTTTGCTAACTAAATATAACTCAAACTGAATACCATTCCCAATGTTAGCTGTTAATAGCCTTAACTCCAGCTAGCTAAGCTAGCTAACTTAGTCTAACAGCAGTGTTTAAGTATAACAAATTTAATACCATTCCCAACATTAACTGTCAGTAACCTTAACTCTTGCTAGCTAACTTAGTCCAACTGGAGTGTTTTATGAACAAATTGAATACCATTCCCAGTGTTAGCTATCAGTAGCCTTAGCTGGCTAGCTAAGTTTTTGCTAACTCCGGTGCTCAAGGTATGAGAAACTGAATACCTTTCCCAATGTTAGCTGTTAATAACCTTAACTCTTGTTAGATAAACTAGCTAACTTGGTCTGATTGCAGTGTCTTGTACTACAAATTTAGTGCCGTCCCCATCGTTAGCTTTCAATAACAAATAACCTTAAATAACTTTAACATTAGCTGGCTAGCTAACCTAGCTAACTAACTGGGTTGAGGTAAGTTTCTTTGGAAACTTATTTAATGCTAACTTCAATGTATTTCAATCAAACGTTTGCTCCACTTTCCAAGTGTTGCTAACTATTTACCCTGTTCTAACTCTGTGTGTGACATAATAAGCAAACTGACCACTGTGTCAAATCAGGGTAAATGCTGATTGACGTATAAGAAGAACAGGAGGAGAAAGATGACTAGTGAAGCAAAGGGAGCGACAGCGTCATCGTTTTCTGAAATGACCTTTGTGAAATGAAGACATTCAGCCACAAGTTACATCTGCTACAGTGATACAAACAGCACAACACTCAGCGAAAGAACGCAAGAGGAACTCAATGCCGTGTTAGTCATTAGTTATTCAGGAATGGGAAATGAAGAACACAAAGAAAATAAAAAGCTAAGGATGGCACATATTTTCATGGGCACAAACATTTTTCAATAATCTGAAATATGATTTTAACTAGAGCTAAACTCAGTCTCAACCGATCGCTCAGTCAATAAAGCAAGCCTTCAAAAAATATTCTTTTTTTTTTATCCATGAGGGACAGATATGTTGGAACAATCTCGTTTTTTTCATAGATAGGTATTCGAGGACGCAAAGTGAGATATGCTAGGGAGAAGCACGAGAAACGACAACGAGAAAAAAAGGATCTCTGCCGATCAAAGTCACTCCAGAGGTCTCTGAACAAGAAAGAAAAAGCCCTGGTCTTTTTTCACGAACGAAAGACAGAACAGTTTCTTCCTTTTTTGTTCGAATAAGGTGATTCAGTCAAGAAACAGAGAAGAACCAACAACCTCTGTCCGACGAGGGCTTCTCAGTCCGGTCCATCTGTGGAAACTGCATTTGAGCGAAAAGATGGTTGAAGCAACGGAGAGATCCTGTGAAAATAAAACGCTTGGATGGTCAAGGTTCCTTCTTTCTCTTTCCTTCCTGCTTTTCCCTCCCCCAAAGTCCTCCTCTTCTCCCTTCCTTCTCTCGTTTACTCTCTGCAGTTCAGTCAGTGTACAGGATGAAGCCAGAAAAAGTGCTGTATTTGTTGTTGTTGCCGCCGTGGGCTTTGCCTCCGTCCAGTTTGATGTAGACTTCATCTCCAGCGTCCAGGTGAAGGATCACACTGTTGGAGGCATAGTCATAGTTCTGATCGGCGTCCTGGGCTATAGCGCTCGCTCTCACCTGATGACGAGAGAGAGAAAGAGAGAGGGAAGGTGAAGGTTAAGCGTGGTTAATGTGCAGTAACATGAAACTAACACATCAGGCTCTGGAACGCTACTGAAGGCCTTCATTATGTCACAATATGCATGCCTATTATGTCTAATATACTTTTCATAGTAATCAGCATCCTTCACTGAATAACTACATGCATCATGAAAAAGACTTGAGATTTAGACTGAGCCGCGGTCACATTAGGCACAGCTGAGGCTGGTCTGGAAGACTGGCGACCCAAAAACCTTGTGCAGTTAGTCAGCTGACCATAAATAAGACCTGACTAAGTTTAAGCGTCAAAGAACCTTATAAATGCAGACGCTCGATTTACACCAGCTGTTAAGAACATTCTCTATTATCAATGTGATTAATATAGAATTAGATTCTCAGACTGAGATTACTTTCAAATTTAGATTCTCAGGCTGAGATTGATGTGAGATTAATCCAGGTTCTGAGATTAAGACAGGTTTAGATTCTCAGACAGAGATTAATCCATGTTTAGATTTTCAGATTGAGATTCATTTCAGGTTTAGATTCTCAGGCTGAGATTAATCCATGTTTAGTTTCTCAGACTGAGACTAATCCAGGTTTAGATTTTTAGGCTGATATCAATCCAGGTTTAGATTCATAGACTGATATTAATCCAGGTTTAGTTTCTCAGGCTGAGATTAATTCAGGTTTAGATTCTCAGACTGAGATTAATCCAGGTTTAGACTCTCAGGATGAGATTAATCCAAGTTTAGTTTCTCAGGCTGAGATTAATCCAGGTTTAGATTCTCAGGCTGAGATTAATCCAGGTTTAGATTCCTAGGATGGGATTAATCCAGGTTTAGATTCTCAGAATAAGATTATTTCAGGTTTAGTTTCTCAAAATGAGATTAATCCAGGTTTAGCTTCTCTGACTGAGATTAATTCAGGTGTAGTTTCTCAGGCTGAGATTAATCCAGGTTTAGTTTCTCAAATTGAGATTGATCCTTGTGTGCATGAACGTTTATGATGAACAGCCAGTCGCGTGAAACATGATGAGGAGTCAACAAAAACCTTTTACCTCTAAAAAATAACTTTACAGGAGAAAGAAAAATCTTCACAACTTTCAATGAAAGTTAATATAACAAGATTTTGTCCTGAGTCATTTTGGACCTTGCATAGTGCACCATTCGTCACAATATTTTGACAAAGTCTTAAGGGCAGCTTTTCAATTTATGTCAAAAAATGAAAAAAAATGTAGATATACTTTTTTTAGACGCCGATGATATATAATGGTAAAAAGCAACTCCACTGCCGCCAAACTTAGACTAAACTATGACTTTAAAGTCTTTAAACTGTAACTTATTAGGACCCCAACTGAGCATCCAATCATCAGCAATACACAAATCTGCCACTTATAACTTTAAATATTTTTCACAGCTTGTGGTAGTCACTGTTATTAGTCAGCCTAACATTTTACAGTACATCAGCCAGCAAGATGGAGGCCCTAAAAATCCTCCTGAGACCCCTAAAAGGCCACAGCCGGCATTGCTAATCTGTCACTGTCATTTTCAGTGAAGAATCTCACAGTGCAGTGACGTATGTCCATTTAGGAGTTGCAGACACTATAAAACCTCATTCTCAAGCAAAATGTTTCCACTCCAGTCGGAGCTTTTTTAATTCATATGGGATTGAATTGATCTCCAGAGATGCAACAGTGTGAATCCAGGATCCACACACACACACACACCGAGATGGCAGATAACAATCAGTGTTAAGCAGAGCAGGAAGAGGAGCGGAGGATTTAAGCATGATCAGATTTAATAAGCCTGGATTTGTCTGAGCATTAGATTTGGGGACGGGGAAATTGCAGAGGATTTCTCTAATCTGTTTGGCGAATGAGACTTTGAGCTGAAGAGGCCATGAATATGTACAGGTGGGTGCCTGCGGCATCTTTTCTAATTCACAGGTGAAATGTAATGCACTTCAGAGTGAGTTCGTCACCTGCTCTGAGGCAGCCGGGCTTCGGTCCGAGTCTGGGATTCTGACAGTCTGCGATTTTGTTAATATTCTCATTTTCAGAGGGAAGTTTTGACGACTTTGGGTAAGTGGTAATGTGTGTATGTGTGTGTGGGCATCTTCATGACCTCTGTTATCTGTCTAATTAAAAGCTGTGTCTGAAAAGTTCTCTCAGACTCTAGGGTGAGCTGTGTGGGCTGAGGTGTGAAGTCAGCGCTGCACTGTGTGTGTGTGTCTGGCGTGTTTTCATACGTTTTAAGGACAAAAATGTCCTGACTTTGTAGGAAAGCAGGGAAACAAACTTACAAAAGCTCCAAGTTTCATTGAAACTGAAAGAGCACACTGAAAGAGCAAGTTTCAACTGAAAGAGCACACTGAAAGAAGACTGAGGTTAAGATTAGGGTTAGGCCTAGAAAACTCACTGCATACAGAAACTTCTATATACATATATAAAATATGCACTATGGTGATCACAAGCCATTTTTTTTTTGAAAATAAGGAATTTGTCTTACTTTTTTCTGTATTTATGTTATTTGTATTTTTTCTAATGACATATGGTATTTTTTACTGGCAAACCACACATATTGCCATGAGACATAGTTTTATAAAGAACATAATTACATATAGATACATATATAAAACATATTGCATAGATACATGTATAAAACCATGTATATCTCCATTTTTCAGTTTTTCACACAATTTAAAAATGTTATCTTTTACATTGTGTGTAAATTTCATGAAGATTGGACCAAAAGAAACTTACTTGGAGAAAAGTCTGGTTCCACTGACTTACATTAAAAGTAAAGTAGGTTTTTTCCTTCTCCTGTAAAGTTACCATTTTGGAGATACGAGGTTTTGTTCTGACAGCAGTGATATATTGTTTTGATGTCTTGTCTAGTGTTTATTGCCTGGTGCATTTATTGTATATTGTCTACTCATTTCACACTGTTGTGTATCTGCATTCTATATAGTCCTGTGTAACGTGCTGCTGTTGTTTGTTAGTCCTTGGGACCTGAAGAACGGCATTTTGCTCCAATTCATACAAGTTACATTGTGGCATGACAGTAAAGACCATTTGACTTCACTTCAGCAACTTTTTCATTCGGTCATTTTGAGCCTGTTTCTAACACTAAAGCAAAGTGGGGGCAAACAGAGAAAGCATGTAGGGCCCTATTCGAGCTGGATTTGTTTGACCTTGGCAGGTGCTGTAATTTGAGTGATCACTGCCAAGATCTGTGATTTTACTACGAATCTGTAGTTTTTACAAGTCTGCTAAGAAATAAGTCAGAGCAAATTACCTTCCTTAGTTTGCTGAAGTTGGAGCTCCCTCAGTAATAGAAGTCCTGTTCAAATCAACATCACAGTAATGTAATAACAAAAATGTGTATTACAAAATGGTGCCTCCATTTTTTTCTTTGTTTGTGACCTGAAGACATGGCTAACATCTAAATGGAGCTTAATTTAATTCCTTAATGATCGAACACATGACAAGACTACTGAAATCCATAATATTTTTATTGATGGTCAAATTATAAGGAGAAGGAATGTGAATATCTCAACCATACCTCTCACAAGGCAAGAGGTTTTCTGCCTTGTTGGGCAGCACTCGGTAAGTTGAATGAACCCACTTTACTGGCCTAATGCTGGCCTATTTTCCACTGAGCCACACAACGTGGTGTTATTGTTGCAAGTGTGGTGTCTGCCGCCTAATGCTGAAGTAAACATTCACACAAATCCAACATTTGGGGAAATTACACAGATCCTTTATCATGTTTGAATCGGCCAATCAAATCACACACAAATTACATTACTAGAGCTTCTCTGGTGAAACTAATCCAGCACAAGTAGGGCTGAAGTTAAAGCTTAATGTTTGTCACTTTAAAAGAAGATAATAATAGCACAGCTCAGTAAAAGTTGTGGTTGTTGTGTATTGTCTTCTTTAATTTTGCCACAAAACAGTAATTAATCTAGGAATAAAGAGCAGCAATACAAATGTAATGTGAAATTTACCATCACAGGCCGCTTAGCCAAGACTGAAGACATGATTTTAGTCATATTCTTCCACTTGAGGCTGTTTTGTCTGATGTTTGAAAACTGACACTGTGGTCTGAGGATGTCCTAAAAATGTGCCTGCTGCAGTGACCACGTTTAAATGGCCAGGACTCACTGGCGGGTTTTACTACACACTTTTATAACCTAATAATAACTTAGACAGTTTGTATTGTAGCTTGTGTAGTTATTGTATAATAAAGCTTAGTATATTTTAAGCCTGGGATTTTAAGGGGTTCACTAGAGCAGCTAAAGAGCTGACTTTTTAGGACAGTCTCATCTTTATTAGGTACAATAAATATGGTATTAATGTAAGCTATTAAATAACTCAAGTTCTGTTCTATTCATGTTTGCATTAAATAAATCAATAAATGAAAACAGTAAAAGTGGCAGTAAATGACTTTTTACCATCACTGGGGGCTGTTACCATGGTAACTGGTAACATGGTAAATATAGTCCCCACAGGTTAGTGTGTTATATGAATAGAGAGTCTGTTTTTACATGCACATCTATGCACACACACACACAGACACGTATTTGTATTGCTTGGGTAAATATCTGGATTGATTAGCAGGGCTCATCCTGCCACCTGTCTCACTGGCATGGCTTTTGGAGTGTGTGTGTGTGTCCGTGCCCATGTGTGTACATAGGCTGGCACAGCTCTCACTGGCAGAGGGGTTTTCCCAGAGGTCAGGGCCATATGGAGGTTGAGGCTGGGGTACGGTGGCTGTGGTGGGACACATATGGCTGCAGAGTCAGTGAGTGATGTGTGCTGGTGTAGAGGTTTGGTCAGCTGCTGCTGGGTACACATACCAGCGTGGGCTGACTGAGCACATGACCAGCCACCGCTGTGATTCCTCTACAAACACCATTTAACAAACCGTCAGTAGAGATTTAGCACCGGGGCCAACTCACTCAACCTTACAGCCAGA